CAGCATTTAACTGTCCACTGCTGAACATAAGCCTGCCCTTGAGGGGTTTTGCCAGTAATTGCCACGCTTGGCAGGCGGATTGGCAACCGCAGTCAGGTTTTAGAGATGTTTTAAGAGGGACGCTGCTGATCATCCCTCTCCTTCCCTTAGTCGGCTCTTACGATATTCACGGGATAGGAAGGGGTAACTTATTCTGTACCGGGACAACACGGCCAATATATGTATATATATATATATATGTATATATATATATATATATATATATATATATATATATATGTATATATATATATATTTATGTATGTATGTATGTATATATATATATATATATATATATATATATTATATTATATTACCACTTTCCATCAGGTGGGCCGTCAGCTTGTTTGTCATTCTAAGTTGCATATATGTAACTTAGAATATATGTATATGTATGAAGGCGACAACCTTCATATCTTTGGTAAAACGTAGCGACAGAAGCAACAGCTTAAATTAAAAAAAAAAAAAACATCCTAGATGCCCTTCAAACTATTGGTGTTTGAAAACAAAGTAAAATTATAAGAAAAAAAAATGTATTAAACTAAAATATACTTTGGATTTACTTTTATATCGTCATAGTCGTAGAATACTGACGGATCTAATGAATATATATATGTAATATAGATCCGTCAGTATTCTACGACTATGACGATATGTAATGATGTATATCAATCGGGCCCAAAATAAAAACTTATTTAAAATGCAAACTTATATTTACAATGAATTAAATGAACGAAAGATATCGAATATTTGCCAAAATTTATGAGCCACAAATTTTGTTTTATTTTGTTTACCTTGCATCTTGTTGGTTACACAATAGACATGCGAGAAATAAATTTACACATTGCAAACCGTTGCCAATTAGCGGTGAAGGGTAATGTTGGCGACAATTTTAACAACAAAATTTGGTGACAATATTACACATTCTAATCGTAAAAACTACAATCTATAGGCATTACATTACCAGAGGGAGACTTTGTACAAAAGTCGATTGCTTGGGTACCTCTGTCTTATTCGTGTTTCAACCGTGAAGCAGTTGTGTTTGCATGGCTGTGTTTCGGTTTGAAGGGTGGGATATGGCGTGAATTTACTGGGTACAAAAGAATAACACCTGAATCCTCAGGAATGGCAACGCATGGAGGGTATTATAGGGGAAACAGTATACTCTGGTAAACAGTATATCTAATATGGTATGTTCATAGTACTGCTCATGTCTATAGGCGACGGTTACCACTGTTTCGCCCTCTTTACAATTATAAGAAGTGAAAGTGTATAATAATAATAGTGTTATAAAATTACACTAATTGCCTCGTACTGAAACTAGAATTATTTAGGATAGGAGAAAGGGATTTTTTTTTATGGGTGAAAATGGTATGGTAACTCCGCCTGCGCTAACGGGATACGCTGGCGGAGCACCAGTGAAGGGTGATGAAATGAATGAAAACAGGCCAGTTAGCCCCTCATGATGAATTCATCAGGAATTAACCATGATAGTTTCCAGGGAGAACCGCGAGGATGTCGACCTGGTTAGGTATATTGCTAGCAATGGGATTCTCTGTCTCCATTACTAACAATCCCTTTCCCCCCCGGAGAAAGGGATTGTTAGTAATGCGGACAACCAGTCCCATAGCTAGCTACATACTCTGTCAGGTCGACCTCCGCGTGTATTCTTGGTGTACTCATCAGGATGGGCTAACTGACCAATCTATTTTTTCATCTATTTCTCTAGTGCCTCGTTAGCGTATACCGTTAGCGCGGATGGAGTTACCATTCCATGGGGTTGTCATCCATTAAAAAAAAAAAAACTTTTGAACAGTTTCCCTTTGGTACAAAATCTTATTCTACATCGTGGAATATTTGTGTCACTTCTCATAAAATTTTAATATATTTATTATTTTCATAAACGATGCAATAAAGTGTTGATAAATAAATAAATATTTGATTTAAAATATTAACAAAGATTATCCATAAGTGTATTAAAGGTATTTTTGGTTAATGGGTGAAAATGGATTGGTAACCCTGCCCGCGCTATCGGTGAGGCACCAGTGGAAGATGATAGGTGAGAATGAAAGCAGGTTAGTTGGCCAACCATGATGAATTCGGCAAGAATTAAACATGATGGTTTCCAGGGGGAACCACGTGGAGGTCGACCTGAGAGGGTATATTGCTAGTAGACCTAGGGCTATTAGACCCCATTACTAAAAATCCCTTTCCCCCATTTAAAGGTATTTACATTAATAAACTCATCAAATGTATCCAATAACGATTGTAGGTAATAATGGTGTGCTAATAACTCAGAACAGCAATACAAAGCATTTGTAATCATTTATAAATCGTACGTGATTTTCGACCGCACTACAGTATTCTATAGAATAAAACAGATCAGTCTTTACCTATAATATTTACATTGTGCCTACTGGTCTGTGTCCTCACAGAACCTATATATTTTAGTTACAATATCCATATATATATTATTATTTCAGCCTTTAATTGTTCACTGCTGGATACAATCCTTCCCCGTAAGAAGAAGAATTTTGTCAGTTGTTGCTACGCTTGACAGACTGACTGACAATCGCAGTTTTTTTTTTTTGATGGGTGAAAATGGAATGGTAGTCCCGCCTGCGCTAACGGAATACGCTGGCGGAGCACCAGTGAAGGGCGATGGATGAGAATGAAAACAGGCCAGTTAGCCCATCATGATGAATTCATCAGGAATTAACCATGATAGTTTCCAGGGAGAACCGCGAGGAGGTCGACCTGGTTGGATATATTGCTAGCAATAAGATTCTCAGTCTCCATTACTAACAATCCCTTTCCCCCTTGACAATCGCAGTTAGGCCTTTGAGAATGTTTTAAGAGGGATGGTGCTGTCTATACCTCGTCGTCCCTTAGTCGCTTCTTACGACACCCACGAGAAAGGAAGGGGTAGCCTATTTCTTCTATTTAATCTATGCTGAGGCACATATGGCGATATTTATGGTATATATTGGTCCAATAAATAATATATTTTTTACGACACAGGGGGCAAACAAGCATGCAACACCTGATGGTAAGTGACTGTCGTCGCCTACGATCGACACCAACGGCATTGCAGGTGTGCTGCTGGCCTTTTAAAAAGAAATATGCTCTTCTCTTGAAGGTTATAATGTCGTATCGGTTCGGAAATACTGCTGCTGGAAGTTGAATCCAAAGAGTTATTTAAATCTCTCATATGAAATTAATTTACTTAAATAAACTCCTATATACAGATAACTGGGAGGCCTTACCAGTATTTACCACGCTTAGAAGGCAGATTGGAAACTGCAGTTATCGTTTAGTAATGTTTAAAGAGGGACACTGCTGTTCATCCCACAACCTGGTGACTTGTAACACAGGTTCTTCTAAACCTACCGCAAGCACCAGTCTCTAACAAAATTGGTCTTCATATCAAATTGTACCTCAAGTTCTCACTTTATTCTACCTTTTGTGAAGAGAAAATAAACCATTCATTCATTCATTCATTCAACCACTACTTTAGTCGCCTCTTACGACACCCACGGGAAAGGAAGGAATGGCCCATGACTAGCTAAGATTAGACGCATGACTTTGCATGTCATGTACGTGTAATAACACCAACTAGGTGTGCATAATTGCATAGACAATCTGAATTTAAAACAGGGAAACTTGCATATTTAAAATTGCCTTTTAATCGTATTAATAGGATGTTATTAACTGTACATATCAAATTTTAATAAGTCAATCGTAGAAATTGCTTGAATTATTCATGTTAACGTTTTAATTAATCGATTATGTGTACTGATTTTGATAATTCACCAGAGGGAGACTTTGTACAAAAGTCGATTGCTTCGAACCTCTGTCCCATTCGTGTTTTAACCGTGAAGCAGTTGTGTTTGCATTGTTTGGCTGTGTTTCGGTTTGAAGGGTGGGATATGGCGTGAATTTACTGGGTACAGAGGAATAACTATGCTATACATGCTGTTTTTATTATTATTTCATATGGTCCCGGCATAGAATAGACCACTCCTTCCTTTCCATGAGTGTCGTAAAAGGTAACTAAAGGAATTTAATCGTCGAAGGATGGGCAGTAACGTCCTTTTTATAACATTACCGAAGCTTTATTATGGTTACTTGCCAAGCGTGACAACTACTGTCAAACCCCCCAAAGGGGAGATCTATATTCAATAGTAAAAACTTATTGGAAGATGTCATAATTATTTTTCCGTGCACAACTTTGGAATCAACTTCTAACAGCACTGTTGCGGGGGGAAAGGGATTGTTAGTAATGGAGACTGAGAGTCCCATTGCTAGCAATATACCCAATCAGGTCGACCTCCTCGCGGTTCCCCCTGGAAACTATCATGGTTAATGCCTGATGAATTCATCATGATGGGCTAACTGGCCTGTTTTCATTCTCATCGATCACCCTTCACTGGTGCTCCGCCAACGTATCCCGTTAGCGCAGGCGGGGTTACCATACCATTTTCATTTATTAAAAAAAAAAACACTGTTGCCGATATGACTTCCAGCACCCCTGCAATTCTTCCGGTGTTGCACGAACACCCTCGTGGGTGGCGGTAGTCACTTACCAACAGGTGAGCTGCAAGCTCCTTTGTGTTATTACAAAAGAAAAAAATATATTATTGCATTATTACTGCTAAAGGATATTTGTAAAATATAAAAAGGCAACAGTTACATTGCAAGTTGCATAAAAATAAAAATAAATAAAACTTGTTATGCAATTTCTGTGTCTGGAATTTCTCTAAAAAAAAAAAAAAATATTTTTTGTCTATTTGTATTTTTTATGCAATACGCAATATTGTTTCATGGTGCTCGTATAAATTTATTATCATTTTTATAAAAAAGTAATAAAAAATTTTTACATATATAAATGTAGGTTTAAGAACATTAAGTCACTAATAAAAGGGGATAAAGCCTGAATAAATACTTTAGTATTATTACAGAGATCGCCCATCCGTAAACAGTTAGGGTTGCCTACGGATGCCTGCAGCACTAGGGTTGTCACGTGCGGGTGCAAGTGAATTCTAGCTCACTTTATACAGGCGTGACAGCAAGGCTTCCAACAAGTTGAAATACAGATACAATATACATAACACTTAACAATATTCCCCAAGGAATGTACGTGGGAATATTTACTAGTACTTGGAAAAGTAAGTATTTGTTTGTTTGTTACTTTTGTACTTTAAACAGTTGTACTTTAAACCAATCATAATAATGTTATTGCATACGTAATGTTTTGGATAGAGATTATTATTATTTCAGCCGTTAACTGTCCACTGCTGGACATAAGCCTTCCTCATAAAGGGAGTTTTGCCAGTAGTTGCCACGCTTGGTAGGCGGATTGGCAACCGCAGTTAGACTTTTAGAGACGTTTTAAGAGTGACGCTGTTGCCCATCCCTCGCTCTTCCTTAGTCGACCTTTACAACACCCATGGGAAAGGAAGGGGTGGCCCATTCTATGCCAGGACACACACGGCAGATAGAGATTATTTGTAATATATTTCAGTCGACGGACGAAGTCACGGGTAAAAATTTCGAGACCTTCTCGTGCAAAATGCAAGGTCACGTGATCAAGTTATAATGAAAATTTCAATTAAATACACTTCGAGCTCTCGTCCCTGCGTAATTCCTTTTCATTACACCCTGTATCCTTGGCAACCCATTAACTAATTAAATCAAGCTGGAGAATGATTATATTTGTAGAGTTTTAATTCGATATTTTTTTTTATAACACGGGGTCAAACGAGCATGCGGCTCACCTGATGGTAAGTGACTACCGCCGCCCATGATCACCCACAACACCAGCGGCATTGCAGGTGTACTGTCGGCCTTTTAAAATATGCTCTTTTCTTGAAGGTTATGATGTCGTATCGGTTCGAAAATACTGCTTCTTGAAGTTGATTTCAAAGAATGGTTTTACGTGGAAGAAAATGCCTTGAAAATTTTTATATTTTTTTATCTTACATTTGTGTATTGACACCAATGTAAAAATAAATAATGAAAGAATAAAGACTTATTACCATGTTACAATATATTTACATGATAAATCCCAAATTTATAGAAAAATACTACAAACAGCATTATTTACAATAACATAGAGACAACCTGGAATGTTACTAATGAATGGTAACATTCCAGGTCCAACCCATTAGAGAACAAGTGAAAATATCTGTACCATTTTTCGAAATATTATTAAACGAAACAAGTGCTACAATAAAAGGTGCATTTTTATTGAAACGAACATGATATCCTGGTGAAAAGGTGCATATATCTCATTTAAATAGATTTAATGTTATAAAATTAATATCAGATTAAATATGATATCAACATTGTTGACGTAGTCGGGAGAAACGAAATGAAATTATGGCAAACATGACTTGAAACAAGTCATGTTTGCCATAATAGGAATGAAAACAACAATGGCTGGCTCATCCGTCATACTCGTGAACGGGTGCTACTAGTACTGGTCTGTTCAAAAATATAGTGACTGTTTGTAAAAAAAAAATATTAATAGGCTATCACCATTATCATTATCAGTACATAGTATAAAACAAAGTCGCTTCCCGTCTGTCGGTCCTTATGTATGGTTAGATCTTTAAAACTACGCAACGGATTTTGACGCGATTTTTTTTTAAGATAGAGTGATTCAAGAGGAAGGTTTATATGTATAATACGTGCATAATATAATGGAGAAACACTGATAATTTTAGAGGTTTCTAATGTGATGTAATGTAATGCGCAGCCGTGCGAAGCCGGGGCGGATCGCTAGTTAATAATAATATTCAGTCCAAAATTTTATATTTTTTTGTATTCAAGTTTTGTTTGAAAAAAAAAAGCAACTACTCAGTTTCTTGACCATTCATCTCGTATAATCAAGTTTACTTGAAATAAAACTGTTTCTATTTTAGAACTCCGTTATCCGAACTAACGATTAACGTAAAATGTCACTGAAGTTAATTATGTTTGTATCATACTTATAGTTTTACGTACAAAAGTTGAGTTGATACATATTAATTATATTAATTAAAACAAATGTTAATTGATAACCTACATTTTAGGGCACATAAAAACGCGTGAAAATTTGATATGCATTGTTTTTGATAACAAATTTAATTTACACTCTTTTTTTTATAACCAAATGTTTCCTGCAATGTTGCTGTTACCGCTCCAATCGGATAACCCTCGACTGCGGTCCGATGATCCTAAAAACCAAATACGTTAGGATTTAAAAATGATTTTTTATACGTCAAACTAGGTTTTGCCCATGACTTCGTACGAGTTGATATTGGAACAAATAAAAGAGACCACCTTTAGTCTGTGTATGAAGAAATAAAACATATATTAGATTTTAAGTTAGGTTTTTGGGTATATAACTGTGAAAACTGTATCCAATTTGCATCTGTATAGTTTTTGCATGGTGTCAGTACAAATATACAAACTGACAGACAGAAGAATAATTCTAAAAAAATATTATTTTGGCTTCTATTGCTCTTATCAAAATCGCTTATGTATTTTTTACTAAAATATCTCTTTTGTACAGAGTTCGTCTAGTTAAAATTTCATTATATGTATATCAGGATGTTGTTTATATATATGTACTAAATTTTAGTCAAATCTGAATGGATTAATAAAAATAATGGAATAAAAATAATGAAAAAATTTTGTATCAAATCTGATGGCCGTTTGAAGAGAATTGAGAATATTAGTAGAAATATAGGATAAAAAAAATTGTACGCAAGATGTCTTATTCAATACAATACTATTGTACTACTTATTTACTTATAATATTGTACTTACTTATATTGTATACTTAGTAACAACAACGATATTAAGATTGTAAGATTTTTTTTTTATACAACTTAGAATGGCAAACAAGCTGTAAAAGTAACAAATTGACTGTAGAACAATATTATACATATTAAAATAAAGAAAGGGATATAAAACACACCAGTATATTATTAAACTGCTGTACTTTATATAATAATTTACTAAATATATTATAATAAATTACTTGAATTCGCGCCTTGTTTCAAATTACTCTGTAAACACCTTACCCACTACTTTAAAACTAATCTGTGACCTAAAATGGCGGCGTATAGAATCCTAATTTTCCGGTTAATAATCGTTAATTGCTATATTAATAGTTCAACAAGGCCGGAATGGAAAGCGAAGGCTAGCTCTAATGTTCAATAATATGAGATTCTCTCTACATTATAACAATATAATACATATATACGCCGAAACAAGTTGATTTTGCTCTGCAAAAAAAAAACTATTTACCTTACACCAGAAGGAGACTTTATACAAAAGTCAATTGCTTGGGTACCTCTGTCCTATTCGTGTTTCAACCGTGACGCAGTTGTGTTTGCATGGCTATGTTTCAGTTTCAAGGATGGGATATGGTGTGAATCTACTACAGTACAGGGGAATAACATCTGAGTCCTCAGGAATGGCAACGCATGGGGGGTATCATCGAAACAGTATACTCTGTTATGTCCATGGTACTGCTCATGTCTATAGGCGACGGTTAACACTTTTTATCAGGTGGGCCGTCAGCTTGTTTGCCATTCTAAGTTGTATAAAAAAAGGGCATTTTGCTAGCAATGGGGCTGTCAACCTCTATCGCTAACAATTCCTTTCACCCTATCTTCAGGTAGCACTATAGCACTATCAAGCGACATCACTCCCCGTTACTTATGTCTCTTACGACGTAATTACATGGCCCGTTATGAATATTGCATTAGGGAACAACCTTCTGAATATTCATACATGTACTACGAATTAGTATAAGCCACGTGCTACGATTTATTTGAGCTCAGAAATTGAAGTTAATTTCCAATTAAAGTTATTAATATATATGATAAATGGATTCGGCGAAACTAACGCCGTGTCTAGTTGTCAAGCGTGAAGTACATAGGTCTGCTAAAATTAAATATTGATTAGTATTATTAAACGAAATATTAAATGTGCCAGTGACCCACTTATTCATATGAAATGTTAACCATTTATCCATACATCCCATCATCTCTATATATATATATATATATATATATACATATATTATAGTATATATGTCGTAATTATGATCGTAAAAATAAAGACAGACTCGCACTGAAGAAACGAACATATATATTTGTATTATATATTTGTATTCAATATACAAATATATATATATACATATATATGTACGCTGTTACTTCTAAACCAGTCTTTCCCAAAGTGGGTAGTAGACAAAATAAGTTTGGGGACCCCTGTTCTAAACCAATTTGGATTCTTTTTCTTATGAGAAAGGATATACACATATATACTAACAGATTAGTGCTATCAGATTGTAAAATCTATTTATTTACATTCAATAAATAAATATAACGCGTTAAGTATAAAAAGTATTCGAACATCCAAATTTAGTATTAAAAATACGTTTGAAATAAGGAAACGGTTGTAATATTAATAAAGATGAGCGTACCCTCGGACGAACTCTGAATTTTCAATATATCCATCCACAAACATCTATCCCTTAGATATCCCAATCTATTTCTGGCCAGACATATTTTCGAAGCTATTAATTTACATGTCAAAAGGTCCTTACAAAGAACAGGGTGCAACCCAGTAATAAGGGATGCCTCGCGTACGACCGGCCGCGTCCGTCTTTGATTACGTTTTATTTCACACTGCTTTAAGTATTCCGTGTATTGAATTCTGATATTAGATCTTTGGTATGCATAAATCAAATAACTATTTCAACTGCTTCAATAGAACATAATGGAAAAATAATTAGTTTTTTTATATCTACAACTGAATGGCAAACAAGCTAACGGCCCACCTGATGGAAAGTGGTAACCGTCCCCTATAGACGTGAGCAGTACCATGGACATAACAAAGTATACTGTTTCGCCCATGATACCCCCCATGCATTGCCATTCCTGAGAACTCAGGTGTGATTCCCTCTGTACCCTGTAAATTCACGCCATATCCCACCCTTCAAACTGAAACACAGCCATGCAAACACAACTGCCTTACGGTTGAAACACGAATGGGACAGAAGAACCTAAGCAAACCACTTTAGTACAAAGTGTCCTTCCCCTTATTTATTTTAAAAGGTACATCAACAATGTAAATACAGATATTTTAATTGATATACAAGGCTTGCATCTTGAATTTACACCAATTACAGATGTACACAATAATTTCTTAAGTCATCGATTTAAGACATATTAACAAAACTGAAACCAACGTTAGTTTTGTTCAAATTGTCACAGAAACTCTATAAATGAAGTTAATAATAAATTAGAACATTGATCCAATTAATTGATTTTCGATTTGTGCTATTCAACATTAGTAGGCTGTCTTAAATATAATAAAAAACAATATCAGCAGACTGTCTTATCTATGGTTTTATCGGATCAATAAATTCTTTTGATTACTTTCTCGTTGAGTTAAATATACCGTGTATATGTTATTATTATTATGTAAGTCGTTAACTACTCATTGTTGAACATAGGTCTCCCCTATGTGGGAGGGAGGCGTGTTGCCAGTAGTTGCCAAACTTGGCAATCGGGTCTGCAACCGAATTGGGCTTTGATTATGTTTTAAGAGGGCCGCTGCTGCCCAACTCTCGCCGTCTCCTAGTTGCCTCTTATGTCACCCACGGGAGAGGAAGGGGTGGCTTATTCTGTACCGGGATCACACGGCAATATATGTAAGTAGTTTCTGCCATTTGCTTGATCATTTATGTACTATCATACCATAAGCTATATATTGTTATTTGTTTAAGAATATCATCTAGATGCCCTATTTTTAGTATATTAAAAATACGACATATCTCTTAATTTTAAAATTATCATTCATATCATGAATTTTGAGAACCCCGTTTTCATACTTTTGTTTTTAATACTCAGACAATACCATATTAAGAATTTGTTTTCAATTAGTATGATTCTATATTAATATTTAATTAAAACAAATTGTTAGTTAGTCGATCATTTTGTTTATCTATCTACACTTTATTTTACAAATTTCAAATAATAAATACAGTAAATATTAATGAGAAGTGATACAAAAGGCGGCCTTATCATTAAGCAGGCAACATTTGGATGAAGGACTATTTTCAGTAGTTTATGAAAAAACTATTATAAATTATATAAGATTGGAAGGCATAATACCATAGCTCTTAAGAATGGGGCTATGGTATAGCTTCGTCATGTCTATAGGCAACGGATACCATTCTCAATTAGGTGGACCGTCAACTTGTTTGTT